ACCCTAAAAGCCCTAAAGCCTAAACCCTAAACGGTCTGAAACCCTGGCACCGTCGAACTGAAAGCCAAAGCTTGGTTCCCTGCTTAGCCGAGCCTTTGGCCATGAGCCGCGAAGACAGCGAGAGCATCATGCAACAAGGTATTTAGGGTTTAGGGTTTAGGGTTTTAGTTTTAGGTTTTAGGGTTTAAGGTGTAGGGTTTAGGGTTTTAGGGTTTAGGGCCTTAAGGTCTAGGGTTTTAGGGTTTAGGTAGTTCTCTAAATTGGGGTCCCTTGTAGGGCTTTAGGGTTTAGGGTTTGCAGACTTCTATGGCTAGTTCTCTAAATTGGGGTTACTTTTAAGGTTTTAGGGTTTAGGGTTTGTAGACTTCTATGGGTAGTTCTCTAAACTAGGGTCCCTTTTTGGGGCCCTAGGTATAAGGCAGCCGTACTACATTGAGGACCTAAAAAGGGACCCTAATTTAGAGAACTACCCAAATACAAGAGGGACAATGAAGAATAGAATAAGGCTTTTGGGGTATATTATTGCACAGCTATAAAATTAAGGCATCCTAATGTACCGCAATTGGTACAGTAGTGAGTTAGGCTTCTAGATTGCGTGTCGGGCTGTTCGCTATAAGTATAAGTCTGAATATTGAAAATGGGGATCCGGTGTGGGAGGCCCTCCCCTACGACCTACACCGGGTTGCACCTGAACCCAAGACATCAGGGAAACCATGTCATTCTTAAACCCAATGCCGCCCCATACAGAAGCCTGAGCTCTCTCCATCAGTGCTTTTCCTTCGAGTTCTTAAACCCATGCTTTCGCTGCCAAACCCTTCACCGGAGAACACGATGCAACCTTATCCCTGGTTCCTCAGTAGCCCCTTAGCATAAACCCGAAACCCCGAAAGCCAGAACTCTTAAACCAACCTTTTCCTATCGTTCGGCTTTCACAAGGAGACCCCAAGGTACAACAGTCAAAAGGGTACGACCGGGATGCCTACCTGTAGTCTCCACTGAGGTTCTGTTTTTGGCCTAATCAGGAAACCTCGGGAATAGTAAGAAGAAGTCTTCCCGACCCCATGGAGCACATGACAAATCCTTCTTGACGTTTTCGTAGTCGTGTGCCCCATCGATGAAGACAAGGTCCAACGAGCGAGATGGAAGACCTGACAGCATTAACAGATCAGGTCTTAAAAAGGCTTGATTAGGCTTTGTACCATAATGTATTTTAAACATATAGTTTAGTACAGACTAAAAATACAACTTCTATACACATATCTATCTATCTATCTATCTATCTATCTATCTATCTATCTATATACAAATATATATAAATATAAATATATATATATATATATATACACACACATACATACATACATACATACATACATACATACATACATACATATATATATATATATGTACCAAAAGATCCTCTGTAAGGGCTCAGTATTGGAACGCTGAACTTTTTCAAGAGCACTCGCACGATTCTCCACACCAATGGGGGGGGGGCCATCCCGTACCCGTGATCTACCGTAGGTGCCTCAACAATGTTGACAGCCGGGTTTGACATGTATTGCCACGGTTTAGGGTTTAGGGTTTAGGGTTCCACATACGAATCTTAGTACCAACTGTGCAGGCCTCACGCGACAATCAAAACGGCACCCTGACATGAATCTCAAAGGGTCCAAGTAATAGTATAGTATGTATATATATATATATTTTTTTTTTCGGGGGGACCTAAATACCTACTATAATGGTACTTAGAGCCTTTGGGAATGTGCTCTGCAGATCGCTGAGAAGTCGGCGAGAGCTCGCTGTTAACGAGGTGGTGGCATGAATCGCAACCTGAGAGCGCAAGCCGTAAATTCTGAACCCCAGGCCCTAAACCCTAAACCCCATACCCCAAACCAGATACCCTAAACCCTAAACCGCCCTAAACCCAAACCCTAAATCCTGAATGTTATGCCATTGTCGTTGTTGATGAAGACCGCTCCTGTCTCGACAACAACGGCGGCTCCCCACCTACTACTTATGCTTACTTGTTGGCCTTACCTCCCATCCCGTAGTACTTGATAATTTGTTCCTAAGCCCGATAAAAACACAAACGTGCCCGAAAGAAAGCCATTGCACAATAGCCCCTAAGGCGACACAGAAGCAAAACAATATCCGAGGCTCTCTTGGCAGGTTCGTGTTCTCCTGACATACACGGGCTTCCAGGAATTGAGGCTTCCAGGCTTGGAGTTTTGGCTCTATAGGGTTCTCTTGTCATTGCTGTTGAAAATATCATGATGTTTCTGGCTTAGGGTTTAGGGTTTAGGGTTCAGGGTTTAGGTTTTGGGATGTATTGTCTAGAGCTGACAGGTGAAGGTTGTTGTTATCTTCGCTGGTGCTAATCGCTCAAGCCAAAACCAGTGACCCTGCAGATGTATACACACATACATTCATGCATACACACATGCATGCATACAGACAGACAGACAGACAGACAGACAGACAGACAGACAGACAGAGAGACAGACAAACAGACAGAGATGCATTCATTCATTCATTCATTCATTCATTCATTCATTCATTCATTCATGCATTCATTCATGCATTCATTCATGCATTCATTCATTCATTCATGCATTCATTCATTCATTCATGCATTCATTCATTCAAAATTTCACCCACATGGAGACATATAATCATATACACAAACATATACATACATAAATACATACATACATACATAAATACATACATACATACATGCATACATGCATACATACATACATACACACACAAACATAAATCGTGATCATCCCAGCCAGAAAAGACGGGCGTTTGCTGGCACACCCTGGGTCGTTTTTGGTGACGCAAGTCTCTTGGTATGGTTGCTGTACCTTACTGTTATTGATACGTTGTCTTGTTAATTATAACCAAACAAGCAACACCAAGACTTTTATTGCCCCACTTCAGACACCACAACGTGAACACAACCAGGCATCCCAGCCGTGGAAGCAGTCTTAATCGACCTGTATGCTGCGCCTACTCACGTGTTGACACATCAATTTAAGCACCCCTTGCTTGTTTAAGGCAAGGCTCCTTTTCAACCGGCAAGAGCTTGTGGATCAGGGTTTACGGCCCCCTAACATATAGAGGCCTTCATAATTATAATCGGGTCTTGGGTCCAGTATACTATACTTATAAGCCCCGATAAATATAGTAGAACGCCTCAAGTTGGGGTTCGGGCTTTGGGCTTCTGTTCCGGCTGGAGGGTTCATGAGCAATTATGAACATGCAGTGACTCAGCCTACAAAGCCTCCAAGCGCCACTGGTCCTGCATATCTAGGCATGTAAAACCCTAAGATGAACCCTTATATTAAACCCTTACTCTGCTCCCTAAACCCTAAACCCTAAACCGTACTCCATAAAGATCCTATATATAATAAAAAGTATATGTATGTATATGTATATATATATATATATATGTATGCATTATAGTTATATATATATATATACATATATATTATACATACATATGTATATATATACATATATATATATATACTGACAGCCCCTGCGTCCTCCACCTCCGGGCACAGGGGCGCTTGCCAGGGACCGCTCGAAGGAAGAACTGACCCCTCCAGGGACATTGGGTTTAGGGTTTAGGGCTCCAGGGGCTTTGTCGTTAAGGAGTTTGTTTAGGAGTTTCGAAAATTAGAGCTTTAGGGTTTGTGATGATTGAGGCTGCTATGCTCAAAGCTTCTGGGGTTTAGGGCTTGTCGGCCTAAGGCAAGTCTTTCGTTTTTTAGGGCTTATGGCAAGTTGGTGGTTGCGGGTTTACGGTCTACGGTTTGAGGTCAGTTCAGGGACGAGGGTTTAGGGTCCCGGTTTGAAGGTATGAAGAGAATAAGGTCTTAGAGTTCATGAGTGTGCAGAAAGGGTTGAAGGTGCAGGCAGTATTTACGACTGAGGGGTGAGGTCTGAAAAGTGTTTTGAGTTCGGTGAAATTCGGATCTGGGGGTTGCAGGGTCTGAGGTGTACGGTTGAGGTAGGGCTTAGTGGGGGCTTTTTGCTGAATCGGGAGCCTCGCTGTCGCAAGGGCGCGGGGGGGGGGGGGGGGGGGGGAGATTTCGGGAGCAGACAGAAACTATCGAGCCGAAACATCAAAGATACATACGAATCTTCACAACGAAGGGCTTCGGAATTTCCACCCATGGGCGCTCTCATTTCCTTTGAATGCAAAAGCCTTGTCTGTGCTGATATTTTGGGGGCTGCCTTCAGCGAGACCTTGAAAGCCCTGGGACGCTTATTCATTTGGGCCCTAAAACCTAAAACCCGAGATCCATGAACCCAGCACGCTAAGCCAAGAAACCCCAAAAACTCAACCAGCCAACAAACAGAGGAGCCCTAAACCCCAAACCCGAAACTCCAGTTGAAAAATCCTTAGCCCGAACCCCTGAATAAACTCTAAACCTCTAGACCAAAATCATCGACCCTAAATCCTGAACCCACCTGATAGGGTCGATGGGCGCTTGAGGTGCCATCGAAGCAGTAGGTCCTTGGATTGTTCCGGGTCGGCTTTCTAAGGCATTTCTAAGTTTATAAGTTATAAGGGTGTTTCAAAGCTTTTATACGGGTGATAGAAGGGTGGTATAAGCGCTGCATATGGATTTCAGAAAGGGTTTCGTAAGGATTGTACAAGGGTTGTTTGTGTTGCTTTGCAGGGGTGCTACTTTAAATGCCGAAACACCTCTACACGAGAACCAACCACATCACGCAAGGTGTATATGCAAGATAGTCGCATGTCTATCATATGATTCCCACAGTTCTTTGCAGCATATAGTCACCAACAATTCCTACTAGTAGTAGTAGGTCTGTACCCACTTTGAGCGACCAGTTTCATAGTTGGGATCGGCAATAAATAGCAGCTTCAACACAACCAAAATAATGGACTACATGTCTGAGTATAGGGAACTAGACTCCAATTTCGGAGTGCCATCATTACTGAGGCATCCTAACCAGAAAAGATTCTCTCCAACAAAGGGTACTACAGTCTAGGACAAAACGTTCTGAACCCTAAAACCCCAAAGTACTATTTCTTAAGCCTTAAGCTCGAAACCCTGAACCCTGGACCCCCAAACCCACAAACACCAAAACTCTAGGCCCCAAACGCCCTGAACCCCCTGAACCCAAAACTTTCCTAAACCCTAGACCCGAAAAAAAGGCCTCTGAGTCAAGCCGAAAGTCCGGGCGTACTGTGCGAAGCGCTGCTCCACTCGCTGCCGGGCCTTCCCAGGTTTCGGGCTGGGCGGAGAGGGGGTGAGGTTAGGGTTTAGGCTTTAGGATTTAAGGTTTAGGTTTAGGGTTTTCGCAACCGAGCTACATGTTTGATGAACTGTGTTTCGAAGGGTTTTGGGCTTGGGGTTTAGGGTTTTTGTAAGTTACCGTAGGGTTTTAAGGAGGGGTTTGGGGTTTAGGGCTGAGGGCGACAAGAGTACCCGTGGCCCAAGCGACCTGCCTTATCCAGGAGCTATATATAGGAAGCATAATAAGGAATCCAGAAGAGGGAGGTTCTTTCGGCTAGAGGTACTTGGGTGTAGTGTTTAGGGTGTAGGCCCTTGGTTGGGGTAACGGTCTATACCTGGCCCGGAGTAAGTCTATTTTGTATGGGGACTGTCAGGGACAGTTTTGCTATTTGTATTACGCGGTCAGCCGTCTATAGAGTTTAACAATTCCAGCATTTTGCCACTTCAACCAAACCCTAAACCCTAAACCCTAAGTAACCCCATTAGCTTCCCATCAGCAAAGGGTTGAGGGTCGAGATAATTCGGTCTGGACTTGAATGTTGAGGTTCGAGAGGGAGCGAAAAAAGACACGGCTTGCAGCCAAACCAAGGGTTTAAGGCGTTAGGGCCTAAACCCTAAGCCCTAAACTCCTAAACCCTTAAGCTCTAAACCCTTAAATCCTACACCCTACACCCTAAAGTAGCAATATACTGGAAGCTCCCGAACCTAAATCCTGAGCGATCCCAAACACGATGAAACCCTGAGGCTCCATGTATCCAGATAGGGCGAGGGTTAGGGGGTTTAGGGTTTAGGGTTCAGGGCCAAATAGTGTATACTTAGACCTTGAAGAGGTTCCTATATCGGCAATTTAGGGTCTAAGTGTATACTTAGGCCTTAAAAGGGGTTCCTGTCTAAGTACTTTAGGGCTTGAGTATACACCATATGGGTACATGGACCCTCAAACCCTAAACCCTAAACCCACAATAGACCTTTATAGGAGCCCTTAAAAGAACCCTTCAAGGACCCCTTTCAGGAATCCTTTAAAGGGTACCATGGAGCCTTAGGGAACCCCGGGTGTCCGGGCACCAGCCTCGTTTGCAGACACGTCACCCAGGTGGCTCTTCTCGCGAAGGACACCCTGGTCACTCAAACTTGGTGTTGGGTTTAGGGTTTAGGGTTTAGGGTTTAGGGTTCAGGGTTCAGGGTTTAGGGTTTAGGGGTTTAGAGGTTAAGGGGTTAAGGGCTTAGGGTTTAGGGGTTTAGGGTTCTACATCCAAAACTCTCGACCTCAAAGCTCGTTACCCCTAAATCGCAAACCGATATGTAAGTCGTTGGAAAGAAGTGGCATGACCAGCGCCTAGGTTTCGTGGAGGGGGACAAACCGGAGCTGTAAAACCTCAATTCGGAAGCTTCGACCCTAATACGCAGAATGATACCCCAAGCTTGCACCCCATTGAACCCTAAACTAAACCATGAACCACCAACCCTTAAAGCGCACCCTGAACCTTTAAGCTTGAGCTTCAGCCCCATGCAAATAGATCGGGTCTCCGGGCATTGGTGTTATTGTAGGGGCCTGACAAATTACAATAGGGTTTTAGGGGCTCCTTATTAAGATTATAGGAAAATATACTCCCAAACCCGGTTCTAACTATTACGGCCCCTATATTAGGGTGTTCGGGGATACGCCGTTAGGTTCATTTGCGAACCGTCTATACAGAAGGAGAAAAAACTAGTGACCTGTATACAGTGTATCTTCCTGTTGGGTTGGCATTTAAAGGTCAACGTAAGGGTCTCAATAATTACCTATGCTATTTTTTGAGGGGTTCCTTGTTATAATTATGGTATAATGGTCCCCAAAACTCTAGTCTAATCATTAAGGCCCCTTTATCGGGAGCTGCAGAACGACTTTGAGCTTTTCGTGACTTCGGGATTGAGCCTGCGATTCCCTTATAAGTAGAGCCCCTGATTAGTGAGTCCCTTTGCTTTAGGGTTTAGGGTTTAGGTTAGAGCCCCTGATTAATGATTAATGAGTCCCTTCAAGGGCCTTCATGTTCTTATGCCGGATCCCCGTTGTGAGCGTTATTCCGGGAGGGCGGGTCTACATCAGCAATCACCACACGATGAAATAAGGGCTCAAGTACACGATTCGGCCCATGATATCCAAAGGAGCTACTGTGTTCAAACACACGTTTACGATGCAAGTGAGCTGGGGTGCTGAAATACACGATCGGACAAGTCATGACTTAAGATCAGAACCACACATCCTGACACCATATAGTGTCGGAGTTATCAGAAGAGAATTGGGTAGTTCCCTGAATTACGGTCCCCTTTGAAGTCCCAAAATAGTGCGGCACCCTTATCGCAAGGACTCCTAAAAAGGACCCTATAATTCAGAGAACTACCCCTTTGGCAGAGCCCAAAGAGTTCCTGGTAGGTCGGGTTGTTGTCCCAGAGGTCGACAAGATGGACCTGAAACCAGCGAGCAGGGTCCAGGGTTTGAGGTGGCTTGCATGTTACAGTTGGTGGCTTAGGGTTTGGGTTCGTTTTTGCTGCAGGCAGAGTCACCCTGCTGCTGGGTATATCTCAACTGCTGGAACTATCTTGCACCTGAAACCGAACGAAAGCCGCAGAAGTTCTTCTTGGGGCAAGAGCTGCCTGGCCGCGGGATACTCAGCAGATTTGCTAGGTCAATACAGCCACCAAGCAAGAATGCTAGTCCTTCCGAAACATGGTCTACTATGGTATACTGTAGCATACTATAAACACTTATAGTTATAGTATATCACGCTAGTTCATATGATATAATCTTTTCCCAGAGCGCATGCCATGCGCAGCCGTGGTCAGTTGCCGGATTCCAGATCCGCACGTGGCCCAATTTTATTTATGGTTGAGGGTTCAGGGTTTAGGGGTTTAGGGGTTTAGGGGTTTAGGGTTTAGGGTTCAGGGTTTAGGCCCAAGACAGTACGTCCAGAACTGGTACGGCTCCGACAAAGCACTACACAAGACCGGGACCTTTCTTTTTAAGAGACCACCACGAGGAAAGCATCCCATATTATGATCTGTCCCTGCTAGTGCTCCCGAATTTGACTTGGGAGTCTCCAAACATATGGGGTACCTTTTTTGGGGGGGGGCGGGGGGTCCTTATAATAAGGATCCTACTATGTAGGGTACTATATGAGGGTCCCCCATTTTCGGAAACCCCTACTTCCCTTAAGCAAGACCCTAAACCCTAAACCCTAAACCCTAAACAAGACCGAAGATCGGCAAGCTGCCGTCTCCAACGGTAGGTGCTTCGCCAGCAGGGAGGCGCACGTCTCGCCCATGAAAACTCCGACCTCCGGTTGGTGATATAACTCCTGCATCACCCGTCTAGTAATGCGGAATATACAGAAATTCCCAAAGTTTGGGGTCCTTAAGGTAATGCAG